GGCCAAAGCTGCTCTTCGCACCTCACGACGCTTTCGAGCTTGTTCCAAAACCTAACCTTCACAGCATCTACGCCCTATCACAGCAAAACCCTAAACCCTAAACCCTAAACCCTAAACCCTAAACCCTAAACCCTAAACCCTAAACCCTAAACCCTAAACCCTAAACCCTAAACCCTAAACCTTAAACCCTAAACCCTAAACCCTAAACCCTAAACCCTAAACCCTAAACCCTAAACCCTAAACCCTAAACCCTAAACCCCGAACCCCCTCCCGAGTCCAGGCGAGGCTATGAATCTGGCCCGGCAGCTCCTGAATTCTAACGAGGGTGCCCGAATCGAGGCTGCGCAGGCGCCATGGGCCTTGAGGGGTTTGTTTTTTTTTAGGGCATGGGGTTTAGGGGTTTAGGGGTTTAGGAGTTTAGGGTTTAGGGTTTAGGGTTTAGGGTTTAGGGTTTAGAGTTTAGGGTTTAGGGTTTAGGGTTTAGGGTTTAGGGTTTAGGGTTTAGGGTTTAGGGTTTAGGGTTTAGGGTTTAGGGTTTAGGGTTTAGGGTTTAGGGTGCTGAATGTTGGCTTTTGCTTGTTGTAATCTAGCGCCGAAAAGGAACGTCGCAACTACATGGGGGGTTCCGTCGTCGTGCATTCCACGTCGGATTGGATGTTACAGCAACATTTACTCTCAGGCTTCATGATAATGTTTTTGCAAATAAGTTGCAAACCAATGGCTTTTTGTGCCATGAGGCGCTCAAGCACAAGTGGTTTGCCAAGAGGGTGCCACGTAGGAGGCTCGCGGCTGTGGACGAGGACTGCGGAAGCAAGTGCTTCGATGCTTTGAGGGTATAGCTACTTGCTATTTGCTTAAGAACCCCCAAAACATAAAATCGTATTCCCTATATTGCCCTTAGAAGGAATGACATCTTCTATTTTTTGGGGGTTTCTTAAGCACATGGTAGATAGGGTTGTGGGCTTAGAGCATGAACTGGATTTGCATTCTAGTGTCCTGGAGTTGGGAGGACGTTTTTGGGTTTAACGGGCCGTTCGTCAGAGTTGAGGGATACGGGTGGGGCCCCTGACGGGTTTAGGGTTCAGGGCTGAATGTGAATGTTCATCGCGTTGCTGGTACCGTAAGCTGTAAGGAGTACGTATACATCATGGAGAACCCCCAGCAAGGAACGCTAGTCTAGACCACAGATGCTCCCGCGATGTAGAAGAAATGAAGCTCCCATCCCAACTACACCGAACTAATGCTGTGTTGGCAGCAGCGCTAGGCATGCTATATTTCCCGTATTAGGTTTATGAGGATTTGCAGGAATATTTTATTCGGAGAGTCTTGAGGGCCGTCATCCTACCCGAAACCCTAAACCGTAAACCTCAAACCCTAAACCCAAACCGCCTAGTAGCCCTTCATGTCTCACTGGCGGGGTGTTTGCAGAACCTCTCTTGCGAGCTAGTCTCATGGGACTCTACCGTGGAACCCTTGAGATTGTGCTTTTGGGTTTGGGGACCCTTTTTTGAAATAGGGCGCATGCTCGGAGTATTAAAGAGAACCTCCCTAAATCCCCAAAGCCCTTAACCCTTTACGGAGACTGAGAGTTCTGGGCTTCTAAGGGTGGCAATATGGCCCCTCATCTGGTCTCGGTTCTGATGTATGGGCCCTTAATTTGTATACGTAAGGGTTATACCCCACACCCTAAACCCTAAACTCTAAACCCTAAACCCTAAACCCTAAACCCCTAAACCCCAAATCCTAAACCCTAAACCCTAAACCCTGGGGTTCTAAGTACCCTGGACCTCCAAGTAGAGGGCTGCGCCAGGAGATTCTCAGCAGCCTCCGGGGCTTCCGCAAGCTCAACAAGTTCCGGAAGGCCATTTAAAGTACTGAGGATTTAGGGTTTAGGGTTTAGGGTTTGGGGTTTAGGGTTTGGGGGTTAGGGCTCCAAACCCTAAACCTCAAACCCTAAACCCTAAACCCTATACCCTAAACCCTAAACCCCAAACCCCAAACCCTAAACCCTGTCTGCGGGCAGGCATCGCTTGCGGTCATAGCCAGCATGCTGCCGGAGAAGGTCGTCCGCCCTGGCCGAGACCTGCCACGGCCTCAGGAACCTCTTTCGTCCACAAGCCCCAAAACCCTAAACCCTAAACCCGAAACCCTAAACCCGAAACCCCTAACCCTAAACCCCTATGCCCTGAAGTCTTCACGTGTTGACTGTACAAGGTCTTGTCATGACACAGCACCAACGGACGCCTGATTCGGAGCTGGTAGGGTTGCGGCCCCTGGGCGGTTTGGGGTTTATGGGTTTAGGGGTTTAGGGCTATAGGGTTTAGGCTTTAGGATTTCGGGTTTAGCGTTTAGGGGTTTAGGGGTTTAGGGTTTAGGGCTCCAGGGTTTTAGGCTTTTTGCTGAGAAACCAATGTTCGTAAGTGAGCGAAATGCCAAGTTTGAAAATGGAACCCTCCTCCCCCCCTTCCCCGAAACACAGCCACACCCACCAAGGCACTGTTGCACCCCAATGTATCCCTAAACCCTAAACCCTAAATCCCTAAACTTTTGAAGTCTAAATTCCCATGTGTAGCTCTTTCAGGGAAATGGGGTTGTGGCAAGTCTGCATTCCCGGCCCGGCAGAGGTTTATCTATCTCGACAAGGACGGCGATGGCGAGGTGGAGTTGGGGTTTAGGGGTTCTGAACCCTCAGCCCTAACCCTAAACCCTAAACCCCCAAACCCTAAACCCGAAACCCTAAACCATAAACCCTAAACCCTACAGCCCCCTGCAAGATCCGCCGTCTGCCAGATCTGCACTTCAATCGACCTAGTTTTGCATTTCAAGCTGATGCTGTGCATCAATCAGGCTTGGCCCGATCCCTGCATCGTGAATCCTTGAACTCTAACCCCTAAACCCCAAGCCCTACCCCCCAAGCCCGAAGCCCTAAACCCTAAGCCCTAAGCCCTAAGCCCTACACCCTAAACCCTAAACCCTAAACCCTAAACCCAAAACCCTAAACCCTAAACCCTAAACCCTAAACCCTCGACCACTCACGTGAACCTTTGCGGCTTCTAGGTGACGCTGACGGAGCTGCGAGAGGCCATGGAAGACTTGAAGACGAACAAGCCGACGCCTGGCTTAAAGGGCGCTTGGGTTTAGGGTTTAGGGTTTATCGGGTTTGTAGGGTTTATCGGGTTTAGAGGGTTTATAGGGTTCATAGGGTTTATAGGGTTTATAGGGTTTATAGGGTTTATAGGGTTTATAGGGTTTATAGGGTTTATAGGGTTTATAGGGTTTATAGGGTTTATAGGGTTTATAGGGTTTATAGGGTTTACAGGGTTTATAGGGTTTATAGGGTTTATAGGGTTTATAGGGTTTATAGGGTTGCATGGGCGCAGGAGCATAGTCAGTCTTTGGGTGTGGGTTGGCGAGGCTTTGTCATGGTTAAACCCTAAGCCCCAAGCCCTAATCCCTAAGCCCTAAACCCTGAACCCTGAACCCTAAACCCTAAACCTGCACGGCTTCAGTACGGTTTGTCCGATCGCCCCTGGAGAAGCTCCGAACTCAACAGGCCGTACCATAACGAGCTTACCCGTGGCTGTGTGAGGAGGTTTGCAGCATGAGGCTGAGGGTTTAGGGTTGAGGATTGAGGGTTTAGGGTTTAGGGTGTAGTAGTTTAGGGTTTAGGGTTTGGAGCTTGCAGTTGCCTGTTCTTCATGGCATCAGTGTCTCAATGTGCCCAGGAAAGATGCGGGACGTGTGTCAGAGGACTTTCTTTCCGGGATGTTGACGTCTGTAGTGCACTGCCTCTTCAGTTTACTGTCTCTATCAAAATATTGTATACAAAACATGTAAGTATAATGTCATAACATTGTATGATATAGTATTATAGCAGTACAACTATATGCCAATGAATATACTAGTATACTAATGACTAAAATTCCAATATCCTCGCATCATAAAATAGCAAAATGGACATATATGCAGAACTCGAAATCTTTCGATGCTGTTCTCGTTGCGCAAGCCCCGCCAGGACATCTTCTCAGCGACGAAAAAAGCACGAAAGTCCACGCAGAGTGCCCAAGGGCAACAAGAGGCAGAGTCGGCTGCAAAAGCAGCTGCGAAACCAGCTGCAACGCCAGCGACCAAAGCAGCTGCAAAGTCGGCTGCGAAGTCCGCGCCCAAGGCAGGGCAGCCAGCGGAAGGCGCCGCTGGCGCCGCTGGCGCCGCCGCGCCCGCCGGCGCGCCCGCGCCCACCTCCGAAGCCCAGAAGGCCATGCTGCGATCGCAGCCCTCCTGGAAGGCCGGGACTACGCAGAAGTAATTTAGCCATATACCACTATGGTAGTAAAAGAATGGACTAATATAGGCAAGTAGGAATAGAGTAGAAGAAGAGAACAATCGAGTAGTAAAACGCTAGTAACTAGAAGATAAAGCATATACAAAACTCGGTATGCTTCACGTGGCTATGTTCGCGCTTTGTAGACCCCAGAGACCTGTCTGCACCCCTTCCAAAGCCCTAAAGCCCTAGACCCGCTTGGAGGTTCATGGGTACTTATAACCACAAGTATAAATCTACTTATCACCTACTGAGGGGGACTTGGGGGGCTTATAAGTGCAGGCATAACTTTGGTAATAGCCCAAAACCCTAAACCCTAAACCCTAAGCCCTAAACCCTAAACCCTAAACCCTAAGCCCTGAACCCTAAACCCTAAACCCTAAACCCCAAGCCCCAAACCCTAAACCCTAAACCGCGGGGTTATACGTACCCTGAACCTCCAAGCAGGGCTAATAGGCACAGAGGTTTTCGGGTTCGTGGGCTTCCAGACCCGCTAGTTGCTTAAGAACCCCCCCCCCCCAACAAAAAAATAAGAAAAATAGACAAAATAGAAATGTTCTTCCCTAGTAAAGGGCAGTATTGGGATTATCATCATTTTGTGTTTTTGGGGGGGGGTTCTTAAGCAAAGAGTTTCTTAAGCAAATAGTAGGAAAAGCTCGGAATCCGCCTTCCTGGCCAGTTGGATCAAGAGTTTCCGGCCTTCAGCTACACCGAGTTCGTCGCAGCCACCTTCGACCGGAGCCGCCATTCCACGGAAGCTGCGGCCCGGTTCTGAAGGTTTAGGGTTTAGGGTTTAGGGTTTAGGGTTTAGGGTTTCGGGTTTCGGGTTTCGGGTTTAGGGTTTAGGGTTTAGGGTTTAGGGTTTAGGGTTTAGGCCGTCTTGCTCTACTTGCTGAAGGGCGTTTGGAGTTTTGGGTTTCGGGGTTAGAGCCTGCTAGTTGATCTGCAGGGTCTTTGAGCACGGATTGCAGAAAACCCACACACATCCCACACCCCTGCAAACCCCTACAGCCCCCCTAAGCCCCAGAACGCCGAAGTCCGCCGAAACGTAGTCTTGAGTCTTGAGTTGGTCATCCCAGAACCCTAAACCCTAAACCCTAAACCAGAAACCCTAAACCCTAAACCCCAAAACTCAAGGCTTAGGCCGCCCCCCCCCCCCCCCATTCTGCGGCGGGGAGGGGGGCCTTCCCACATCTAGGCCTCCTCGAAACCAGCACTGGTCCCTTACCCTGGACCCTGAAGGCTCCTAGAAGCTTTAACATCCTAACCCTAAACCCCGAACCCCTAAATGAAGCGACATGAGGCGTAAACCCTATCAGGAATCCGTTGGGGCGGTTTTGCTGCCTGAGACGGTGCAGGGTTTAGGGTTTAGGGTTTAGGGTTTATGGTTCAGGGTTCAGGGTTTAGGGTGGGAGACAAGCGTTAGATGGGTCTCACACTCGGCAAATAGCGGCCTTTCGCAGGTTACGAAGCTTTCGAAGCTACTCGGCTTCCCAACCCTCACAGCTTCTGACGCCGGATCACAGCAAAACTCAACCTAAAGCCTACAACCCTAAACCCTAAAACCCTAAAACCTAAACTCCAAAACCCATAAACCTTAAACCCTACCAAAACCATCTGAGCCTCTGAGCCCTTCAGTCCCTGAACCCCCACTGAACCCTAAACCCTAAACTCTAAACCCTAAACCCTAAACCCTGAACCCTGAACCCTAAACCCTAAACCCTAAGCCCTAAGCCCTAAGCCCTAAGCCCTAAGCCCTAAGCCCTAAGCCCTAAACCCTAAGCCCTAAACCCTAAGCCCTAAGCCCTAAGCCCTAAACCCTAAACCCTAAACCCTAAACCAGGTTTGCCGGGCAGCCTTCCGATGTTTCGACAAGGACCCTCATTTCATGGCATAATAGGGTTTAGGGTTTTAGGGTTTTAGGGTTTTAGGGTTTTAGGGTTTTAGGGTTTTAGGGTTTTAGGGTTTTAGGGTTTAGGGTTTAGGGTTTTAGGGTTCTCTCATTTCATGGCCCTGTGCTCTGGGGTGCTTTGCTGTAACTTTAGATCCTTAGCCTTGTTGGGCTTAGGGTTTTTGGGGCGTTTAGGGCTTTTAAGGTTTTTAGGGCGTTTTCGAGCTTTTTTTGGCTGACCGGGCTTCTTGATAAGGCAGCTAAAAAATAAATTCATAGCTACCCTGTTAAGTGCAGCCAAGTGTGTGGGTCCTTCAACAGGGTCTGGGGTTTTTGGGTTTTCAGGGTTTATGGGGTTTTAAGGGGTTTTAGGGCTTTTCGGGTTTTTGGGGTTTATAATATAGGGTTTCGCTCTGGGATTTGGGGGGCCTTTCATGGGGCGGTGGTGAGGGTCTCACGGCTTTGTTTGGGTTCCGCTTTTTAGGTAATTAGTTTCCTAAACCCTAAACCCTAAACCCTAAACCCTAAACCCTAAACCCTAAACCCTAAACCCTAAACCCTAAACCCTAAACCCTAAACCCTAAACCCTTTTTTAGGTAATTAGTTTTTGGTTTCTCCTCGGGCATTTTCTGGGTTCGAGGCAGCACTTCCAAGACGCTTTAGGGTTTAGGGTTTAGGGTTTAGGGTTTAGGGTTCAGGGTTTAGGGTTTAGGGTTTAGGGTACGACACTGTATCAGAGTTCAGGGATTGGGGTTTAGGGTTTAAGGTGTGGGGTGTAGGGTTTAGGTTGGGATGTTCCCCCTTGTACTAACCGTCTTTAATAGGGGTTTTAACAGGCGGGGGACTATGTAGGACCGTTAGTATAATGGGGGAACATCCCAAGGTTTAGGGTTTAGGGTTGCGGTTTCGGCTTCGTTCTCTGCGAGACGTGAGGGTTAGGGGAGCCGCTTCAGCTCCCTTCTGGTTGCCCCCGCAACCCCTGCAATCGCCCTTGCATCAAATCTTTTGTACAACATATCAGTCACATCACCCTTTATTAAATTAATGAATAAAAAACTGTATGGTTCTTCCGTTGCTAAATTCTACACTTCTAACATTAGTTTCTTTGCTTCTGCTAAGTTTTTAGTGTCTGCCACGGATGACTTCTTAATCAATACGGCACTTAATTCCTCCACCATTGTTTCTATCTCTTTGTAGTTTCTGAACCTGAAGAAAAACAACTGACGACTATTAACACGAATAATAGGACTTGGGGCATTGAATTTCTGCGCTGCTGTTATGATGTTCATTGCGCTGTGTCTGCCTCTAACATATAACTGATTTAGTAACGGTGAATTTCTTGAAAACGCTTTTGAATCAACAAAGTCATCAACAATTATAAGAATAGAAAATAATTTCTTATAATCGTTCTTCTTCTGATATTCTGTTACCTTATGTTGTTGCTTTATCACCTTTTCTAGTTCTTCTGGCTTGTATTCATCAAAGAAACACTTTTCCTTTTCCAAATCCACCTTCAACCCGTCCTGAATATATCTTTTAACTGGTGTCCAATTACTATCTACGGAAATTGAAGGAGACCATACATATATTCTTGCAAATACATTCCTATAAATATCTAATGTCATTGATTGAAGTAAAATTCCTTTTCCTGAACCGCTAGGGCCGGTTATGATTTGACTAAATGGTAATCTAGGCGCTGCATCGTATTTAGATTGTTTGAAATCATATTCCTTTACATTTACTGGCTTAACTATAGGCGTAATGATTGTTAATATTACTTAGAAATGTTATATCGTTAATAATATATGAAGGATAATAAAATAACATATACTGATTATATTGAAATTATCAATGAAATAGAAAACATTGAAGAAATAGTAACACCACCTAAATATCGTAGGTGTTGTTTTAATCTACTTGAGTTTATGAAGGCAATTATTCAATATTGTAACATAAAATCTAAGAAATATAAAATGAGTAAGGAAGAAGCAAAACAGAACGACAATTTTCATATTGATAAAGGCAGTGTCAGTTGTAATTTATGGCGTTGTGGTAGAAAAGCATTTCATAAGGAAACGAAAACAACGACCGATAAGGAAGGTAATACAATAGTAAATCAAATAGAGGAGCGTAGCAGTTGGCGTGTTGGCGGACGTAGAGGGACTACTCCTGATGACAACGACATATTTAAGACAAACAAAGATGCTAAGGAAGATATTGATACGGTTGATGCAGATTGGGGAAAAGTAGGAACAAGTCGCTCAATTACGCCAGAAGAAGCAGAAGAAAGAAGAATTAAATTAGAACAAGAATTGGAAGAACTAAAGAATAAAATTCATAGTATGGATTGAAAATATCTATATATTAATATATGGATTGTTTATGTCCTAAAACAGTAAACAAGGAGAAGAAGAAAGACTGGTTAGGTGAAAGAAAGAATGTTTGAATGTATAACGCTAGATTAAGCGCTATAATAGATGAACTGGAGGATTATTATCATTATGAAGAATATAAGAAACGGTTTAAATTGCTGTTTGAGTTTTATCAGTTAGAAGAATTATTAAAATAGTTTAAAAAATAGTTTGTGTTGTATATTGACAGTGCCCCCATGCCAGTGCCCCGTGTGCTTCCATAAGCGCATCAACAGAATGTGGTAATGGTCTAATTAGTTTGTTTCGCGCTTTTGGAAGAAGGAGAAGAAAACCCCGATGGTCCCTATATAATGTTCTAATGATTTAATTCAAGAATTCAAAATCATTAGAGTAATGTTTTGGTCTAACCGTGTTTACAGACTAGACTTTTTAATATAGTAAGATGGAGAAACGAGTATGTAAATCGTGTTGCACAACAAAAGATATTGAAGAGTTTGACGGTTTTAAAACTTGTAATAGGTGCCGTGAAGCGAAACGAAAATGTTACGGTAAAAACAAAAACGAGTATAACCAAGCGAGAAGAGAAGAGAGGGCCAAAGGGAGCCAATTATGTGAAGAATGCGGACGTAAGATAAAACACGAAAACTGGGATGCCCATTTCCATTATGCGTTCCATCCGAAATCGGAACTAAACGTATTGATGAAAGATTATTTAAGGAAATTAGGTAATTTAAGGAAAGATGGCAAACTAAACGACGAATTACAAGCAGAGATTAAGGCAGAATACGAGAAGCAGAAAAGGGAAATACGCAAACGATTAAACGAGCAATGCCCTAGTAAATTTGTTGATGATGATGAACCGCATCCAGAACCCGAGAAACCTAAATCCGATCCTGACAAACCTAAATCCGATCTTGATAAAGTATTCAATCACGTCCATCAATTGCTATTTAATGACGAGCCTTTAGAAGACTATTTTATGCTGTTTGGCAAGCACAAGGACAGAATCATTATTGAATTCCTGTAGATAGGTCTTAAGAAAAGAATTTCTGAAGAAAAGACACTTAAAGAAATAACAACTATACATACTAAGAGGAAAATGGATTATACAGATTTAATTACATATAAAATACAAGTGAAGTATATCAAGAAGATACATGAAATGAAAAAATGAAATAGACTACTTAAACAAAATAAGGAGTTATGTAAGTTGCTTAAAGCTTATGGAAGTGTTTTTGATCAAGAAGACGTCTTGAATGTTAGGCGCGATTATCTCTTTTAGAGGGTAAAATTTCAGAAGATAAAAAGTTAATAAAACAATATTCGGATCTAATTGAACATATTGAAATAATTTGTCAGAATGGGGGGGAAACGCAGACGCTAAATATTTAGATGTGAAACCAAAGAATGGAGTTAAGTGGTTGAATAAAAGTATTCAGGACATTGAAGAAGAATACAGCGAACTAGTCAAGCCTAAATAGTAAACCAATAATAATATTATTTTGTTGAAATAATATTATTCTTGTTTTCCTACCTTATTCCTAAACATACTCCTATTATTGTAAAATTGTTTAAGAAGACCATTTCCATTTTCTAGGGTTAGGGATTTCGGGTTGATACTATCGGGTTTTCTATGGGGGTGCGGGTGTATGGAGTTGAGGTTGGGTTTTTTCTATGTGGTGGTGTATGGGTCTTCTAGTGGTTCCATCTTGTGGGCACTGGGGTATAGGTTGTTATGGTTTTGGGTCTTCAGGTGGGTCTTTCCTAGGGTTCTACCTATGGATGTTGGGTGGGTTTAGGGTTGAGGTATAGGTTATTATGGTTTGGGTGCTAGGGGGGTGGGCATGGTTAGAAAATGGAAATGGTATATGCTAACTCTAAATCCCCCCTCTAAACCCTAAACCCTAAGACCCAAACCCTAAACCCTAAGCCCTAAACCCTGAAATCTCAAGGACAACTCCGGCCAGCTGGAGCCTGCCGAGCTCGTGGATGGCTACCTACTCGGGAAGCTGGAGCCGGAGGAGGCGAGGGTTGAGGGTTTAGGGTTTAGGGCTTAGGGCTTAGGGCTTAGGGTTTAGGGTTTAGGGTTTAGGGTTTAGGGTTTAGGGTTTAGGGTTTAGGGTTTAGGGTTTAGGGTTTAGTAGAACCCCCAGAACCCCTGGAACCCCTAAAGCCCCTTAAGCCCCTTAACCCGCAAAACCCCTAAAACCCCCAAAGTCCCTAAAAGCCCCAAAACCCCCAAAACCCCTAAAGCCCCCAAAGCCACTAAAAACTTTAAAACCCCAAAATCCGAAACCCTGAACCCTGAACCCTAAACCCTAAACCCTACACCCTAAACCCTAAACCCGGTTTAGGGGTTCGGGGGTCATTGCCTTGATCGCCTCCTGCATTTGCTGTTCAGGGTGTGTGTGTGTGTGTGTGTGCGCGCGCGTGTGTGTGTGTGTGTGTGTGTGTGTGTGTGTGTGTGTGTGTGTGTGTGTGTGGCCGTCTCTCTCTCTCTCTCTCGCTCGCTCTCTCTCCCTCCAAAAATCCCTAACCCCTACGTCAACCCTAAACGCTGCTCGGAATCCCTATCCTAAACCCCCTCTACCCTACGCCCTCAACCCTAAACCCAAAACCCTTCACCCTAAACTCGTACGACCCAGAGCAGGCCCTTATTCCCTTTTTCAAGGTTTAGGTTCCCCTATAAGCCCCTTTGCAACCAAAGAGAGCACGCTGTTGATTCCTACTTTGCTCTTGGGTCTAGACTCGGAATCCCCCTAAACTCTAAACCCTACACCCTACACCCTACACCCTACACCCTAAACCCTAAACCCTAAACCCCAAACCCTAAACCCTAAACCCTAAACCCGAAACCCCCCCCCATGAGAGCTCCGGGGAGGTGGATCAAATCATGGAGGAGCTGGATGAGAACGGCGACGGTGAGATCGACTTTCAAGAGTTCATGGCCATGATGACGCACCAGGTCTTTGGGGGTTTAGGGTTTAGGGTTTAGGGTTTAGGGTTTAGGGTTTAGGGTTTAGGGTTCAGGGTTTAGGGTTTAGGTTTTTAGGGTTTGGGGTTTGGGGTTTGGGGTTTGTCTAGAGTGCAGGGGTTGAGGGGCTTAGGGTTTCGGGTTTAGGGGTTTAGGGCTATCGGGCTTAGGGCCGAAGAGCTTCGCGGCTAGTTGCAGTCAGGGGTTCTCATCCCTGAGCTGCCAAAAAGAAAGGACTCCCCCTAGACCCAATGGTCGCGCCAGGCCCGAACTCTGGTTCTAAGAGTCCTTCGGGGTACTATAAGGACTATACTCCAAGGAAAAATCGGAATTGTATAGGGGAATGAGATGAAGGATCCTTTCCTCCTTGTATGCCTGGTGGTTTCGGTGGTTGGTGAAGTTGTGTTCGGAAGGATGACGTTGGCACCGTTTATTATAGTGAAAACTGGCCCCACAGCACTGGTGCTGACTGGTCATTGAGTTATTCTCACTCATTCAACGCAGTACAGGATTGAAATAGACCCTAAATAAACCCTAAATAAACCTCGAATACACCCTGAATAAACCTGAAGTAAACCCCAAATAAACCCCAAAACATCCCAAATAAACCCTACAACATCCGAAATAAACCCTAAAAAGCCCTAACAAAAACCCTAAACAAATCCTAAAAATCCCAAGTACGCCCCCGAAGCCTCAAAGCCCCATAAACCCAAACCCCCCCACACTTGGAGGAGTTCATGGGCACTTAGAACCACAGTTGTAAATCTACTTAGAAATAATCTACTTATAAATCTACTTATAAATCTACTTATAAATCTACGTATAAATCTACCTATAAATCTACTTATAAATCTACTTCTAAATCTACTTATAAATCTACTTATCAATCTACTTAGAAATATACTTATAAATCTACTTCGGGGACTTGGGGGGGGGGATTAGGGGGCTTATAAGTGCAGTTATAATTGGGGTTATAAGTGCCCTGAAACCCCCCACATCCCTCCCGAAGACGCTCAGAGAGCCCTGCGTCCTGCTCCAGGAGTCACCCACGTTATCTCCGAAGAGCAATCCCTCTCGCGTGTGAAGGACGCGAAACCCTAAACCCTAAACCCTAAACCCTGAACCCTGAACCCTAAACCCAAAACCCTTATGGTAACCAAGAGCGACCGTTGGGACCAGACGTTGGCCCGTCGAGTTCCCACGTTGCTTGTCAGGAACTCCTTCAATGTGGGGGGTTTAGGGTTTAGGGTTTAGGGTTTAAAGGTTTAGGGTTTAGGGTTCAGGGTTTAGGGTTTAGGGTTCAGGGTTTAGGGTTTAGGGTTTAGGGTTTAGGGGCTTAGGGTTTAGGGTTTAGGGTTTAACGAGGGATTTTGGGCCCTCCTTCAGTCGATTACACTGCCCTCCTTGCTTGGCCCTCTAAGAAGGCTCAAGTCCCCACTCCGGGTCTTGCCCTTGCTTTCGTCGTTGTTGCGGCTCCGACCGGGGGGCATCAAAACTCGCAGGTTTTGCTTCATTTTGGTCTGAGTAGCTGAGTGAGCACACTGTACACTTTTTGGGATACTCTAATCCCCTATAGAAATGAAAGTGTATTCTCTTGGGGGGCGTATGAACTCAGCAACTAAGTGGTGCTCTTGTCGATTCCCTTGCTGTTCCTGTGAGCATTCCTCCGAGTCAAGCTGGGAAGGGAAGGAGACCTTTTGAACTTCATCAGGCTATTCGGAGTTTAGCTTTGTGCTCCAAGTCCTTCCATTCTAAGTCGGGTCGGGTACACGCTACGTCGCAACATCCGCCGCAAACGTTGGATGAGTTTGCGTTAGGCCGCTAGGCCTGTTGTGCAGCTTGCAGTTGCAGCAAAATGGTTGTCATCGATTGTGTGTAGCAGCAGCCGTGGCCAGGACTAGGGTACAGAGCAGTAGTTGCAGAAGGAGGAGCAGGAAGAATTTCAATACACGTGAACTGAGGGGGGTTATTTGCGACATGCAGTGAGACAGCAACCCGCCCCCTCTCCCTGAACCCTAAACCCTAAACCGTAAACCCTAAACCCTGAACTCTAAACCCTAAACCCTAAACCCTAACCCCTAAACCCTAAACCCCCACACTTGGCCTTCGTTCAGCTTACATGTGCTCTCTGGCAGGACTCCGGATGACTCCTGGAGTTCTCCCCTCAACAGCTTGCGTGGTTCTTGTCTACTAATTTGCTGAAGAACCCCCAAGAAATGAAAAACAATAATCCCTGTACTATAGGGTTTAGGGTTTAGGGTTTAGGGTTTAGGGTTTAGGGTCATATTATGGCCATTATAAGAATATTCTTTGGGGGTTCTTAGGCAACTAGTAGTTGTTCAGGAACTTCAGCTGAGTTACCCTAATCGGGTCATATGATGCATCAGAGTCTGGGTGTATCTTGGGGTTTAGGGTTTAGGGTTTAGGGTTTAGGGTTTAGGGTTTAGGGTTTCGGGTTGTATCGTGAGAGCAGTTGAGATGTTCAGGTGTTCGTAGAGAAGTCGCCGGATTGGTGAACGTCGCATGGTGCGGTTAAGTTTCAGCTTGTTGGCTTGCTCGCTTGCCGTGCCGCCCTAACCCCTAAACCCTAAACCCTAAACCCTAAACCCTAAACCCTAGTTTTCCCGAAATGCATTCCTGTATAGTGTATTCGGTAATTCCCAGAGAGCCCCACCCCCACCACCACTCCCCCCCTCCACTTGTTATGGGATCTCCCAACAACTACTATTTGCTTCAGAACCCCAAAAGAATAAAGAGTAATCATCTCTATATTGCCCTTAATACGGAAGATTGTTCTTTTCGTTTTTTTCGGGGTTCTTAAGCAATGAGTAGACAAAGGGAAGGGTACCCTTCTAGCAAACTCACACATTCTAGCACCCGGAGAAATGAGGCCCTGATGTCTTTTTTTTGAGTGGGGGTTCAGAACCTATAATCTCCTTAAAACCAAAAAGGGTTTAGGGTTTAGGGTTTAGGGTAGGTTACTCCTGGGTCTAGTATTCCCCACTCCTTGAGCTGTTGCCGCGGCCCAGGTGTCTTGTGCGGACGAGTGGGTGCCCTTTTCAGCTTACTTTCAGAAAGGAAAGACAAGCACCTTTGGCTGGCAGCTGTGGATGATAGGCATTTTTGTGCACGCCTAAAGTGTATCCAAAAATCACATGGCAAAACCCCAAGCCATGAAGGAGCTGTTATTGGGGAGTGGCTGACAACATGTATCAACTGCTGACAGTACCAGACATAACCCCAGCAACCTGTTTCAACTCTGTACGCTTGGGCGCACGGGTGGCCAGCAATGGACATGACACTGTTGAGGTTGTGCCGCCAAGCTAGTAGGTGCTTGTTACCTCAAAGCTCTTCGTGTACATCTGCGCCGTTCGCCTCACCTTACATCTTTCGCGAGTTGGCCGCAAGCGGGATTGCCACTGTGCGACCGCACAGGTCAGCAAGGCTTTGACTTGGGGCTGTTTTTGCTCGCACAGAAGTTTCCCGTGAGTCTGTGACACCTGATGCAAGGGCCTGTCGACCTCCCACGTAACATTTTCAAGCTCTTTCCGGCTCGCGCCTCCCCGTGGGCTGCTGCAATGTGCAGCCATTGCAGCAGCCTGCTTTTCTCTCTTGAGCTTAAAAGCCATGCCAGGCACCTACTTGGGGGTTCAGGGTTTAGGGTTTAGGGTTTAGGCTTTAGGGTTTAGGGTACTTGCTAACAATTTTTAACTGTACTTACAACCAAAATTATAAGCCGCTTAAGTGCCCTAATATGGTTATATGAACCTTCCGGTATGGGTACCCCAAAAGTCTCCTCAGGTATTCTGTCGCTTTACTTGCAGTTTGTATAGAACCCGAACAGGCTCCTGACCCCTAAACCCTAAACCCTAAACCCTAAACCCTAAACCCTAAACCCTAAACCCTAAACCCTTAACCCTTAACCCTTAACCCTAAACCCTAAACCCTTAACCCTTAACCCTTAAACCCTAAACCCTATATAGAACCCGAACAGGGATCATGAAGAATAAGATTCTTAGGACACCAAGGGTTTCGGGTATAGACCGAAGAGTTTTCAACCTTCTGAGCCGCTGGTGGCTGCAAGAGCTGTGGCTGCCATTTGGGAGTTTACGAAAATAGGGGACCCAGGGTTTAGGGTTTAGGGTTTAGGGTTTAGGGCTTAAATTAGACCTCCCAAAATGGTAGGATCCACTTATAATAAGGACCCCAATAAGGTGCGCCTACTTTCGGAACGGCCCCATATGCTTCCCTTGTTGCACCCTGCTACCATCGATACGGTCGCCCTAATCGGAGCAGCACCCTAAACCCTAAACCCTAAACCCTAAACCCTAAACCCTAAACCCTAAACCCTAAACCCTAAACCCTAAACCCTAAACCCTAAATCCTTCAGTTAAAACCCTAAACATGTTGAACCCTGCGTGCCCTGGCCGGGCCCCAGCAGAGAAGCCGCAACAGAGCCTCCCCAAAGAGTGAGGCTGCAAAAGGACGGCTCAGGGCCTTGCATGACGATGATCTCTTAGGGCTAGGGTCTTAGGGTTTAGGGTTTAATTAGGGTTTAGGGTTTAGGGTTTAGGGTTTAGGGTTTAGGGTTTAGGGTTTAGGGTTTAGGGTTTAGGGTTTAGGGTTTAGGGTTCGATGATAATCTAGGGGCTTTACCTTGGACCCTTCAGGTTGCACCCGTGGGTTTTGGGGTCCCCTTTTTGAAGATCCCTTAGGGTGTATAAGGGCCATATTTGGAGCAGATTAAGGGGAACCTTTGGGGGTACAACCTCAGGGGTACGAGCCTTCATCCCCTTGAGAGAATGTTTCACGCAGGCTCCCCGCATCAACGAGTGGGGCGCAACTTGGGGCAGGCCTCCAGCTCAGAGCAAGCCTGTGGCGATGGCCTGCCCCCCCAAAAAAAAGGAGTTATCTCTTTGCTGTTAAAGGGGGGGCAGGGAGCCCAGTACCCCCTTGAATAAGGAAAGTGAAGCCAAGCAGGGCCCAATTAGGAGTCCTGCGGAGGGTTCAATCTAAGGGTAGTTTCATGGGCGCTTAACATGGTCCCTTAAAGGGTTCTGAAGTATGGCCCCTTGGGCTGTATAGGGTATATAAGGCCCATAGGAAGGGACAATGTAATTACCCTACGATTCACGGGAGATCTCGGGCTCTCTGAGGGGCAGAGGGGGCCGCGAAGAGACGAGTTCCCTCTGCCCCAGTAGCACGACCGGGGCGCGAAGAGGTTCAGGGGTGGCTGTCTGCCACCCCCTGCAGCTCCTTCCCCCGCGGAACCCCCTGCCTCGCCAATCTGTTGTACCGCGAATTTCGACAAGCAAGTGCAGAGCACGTTTGCGGCTGGCAGCGAATCCGCATCTCATGAGGCACATAGCCCACCGAGAAGCCTACTCTCGACCTCAGTAGTGTGGTGGCTTTTGACGAAGATTGTCAGCATAGGATGGTATAAGTATAGGAGTATACATATACACGCTCGTTATGTATAAGTGTATGTATCGGAAGGTTTTTTGTGAGAGTCGGTCCTGCCCTTTGCTCGTGACCGAGCGGTGTTGCGTGAGCAAAATGGAGCCAGCCCTGTTTTCATGCGCGCTGGGTACGCCAGCGGCGTATTTTCGAGCAGGCCCTAAACCCTAAACCCTAAGCCTAAACCCTAAACCCTAAACCCTACACCCTACAGGCTGCACCCTACACCCTACACCCTGCACCCTGCACCCTGCACCCTGCACCCTGCACCCTACACCCTACACCCTACACCCTACACCCTGAGAGCCCGCCCAGCCATCTGCTCGCAGGCATTTGCTGGAGCATCCACTCTTTACCGAGCGGCCCAGAACGACGCCGTACCCGTTGGAGGCCCAGGCATCCCTTTGCGAGCAGCTGTGCAAGGTGTCTTTTGTGGGCTTTGTTGGGTTTAGGGTCTAGGGTTTAGGGTTTAGAGTTTAGGGTTTAGGGTTTAGGGTTTAGGTTTAGGGTTGAAGGCTTCGGTTGAATTTTGAGGGTTCAGGGGGGTGTGAGGCTGGAAGTGTGGTTCGGTCTCCAAGCAAAGACCTGGCCCAGGAAAACCCAGGGTACCCCTACGCTATATCCCCCTTTGGAATTATATTTTGTTTTGTTTATATAGAACCCAAGGGACTTTAAGAAGATTGTTTGTTAAGGTTCTAAGGGGAGGATAGTATGGTTGTACCCCTAAGCTACCATTTGCTTGAGAACCCCCCCCCCCCCCCCCCCGCCTGTCCCTGCCCCCGTCCCAAAAAAGAGAGAAATATTCTTTCTCATAAGGGCAAGATAGGGATTGCTTGTTTTTCCTCGTTCTTAGGCAAATATAAGGGGTATATAAGGGGTCCCTTTTAAGGATATTTAGGGACCATGTAGCTACCCTAAGACCCTAAGATTGAATGACGAGCTCAGGTGCCCAATGACAAAGGTCCAGGTGCTGCGATACTTCTCTCTGTGGAACCAGTCGGTGGCTGCCCTGATGAGGCACTTTTAACCCTGAACCCCTTACCCCAAACCCCAAACCCTCAACCCTAAACCCCAAACCCCAAACCCCAAACCCTAAACCCCAAACCCTAAACCCCAAACCCTAAACCCCAAACCCTACACCCCATAGCTGCTTCTTCCTTGCTAGGCTCTGCTAGAGGTTGGCTCTCGTTCTGCCAGCAGATCCTGACTCTGAGTTTCGAGCACATGCTTGAAGGTTCATGGTGCTTATTGACCCATTATAACTCTCTGATAACCCACTTATAAGCCTCTTAAGCGCCCCAATATGGTTAGAATTTGGGTTACCCTAAACCCTAAACCCTAAACCCTAAAACCCTATAAGTACAGTCCTAGTTGGTTAATAGGTACCATGAACCTTCAAGTAGCCCTGAGGATGCTGGACCCGGACATCTATCACTGCATGGACTACCATGCAGCCCTAGCCCCGCTTTATCTGCCGGAGCCGCTGGGGGTTTCGGCTGTGGGGGCTTGTAGGGATTTAGGGGGGGCTTTTTGGGGATTTTAGAGGTAGGGTTTAGGGTTTAGGGTTTAGGGTTTGGGGTTTGGGGTTTAGGGTTTAGGGTTTGGGGTTTGGGGTTTGGGGTTTGGGGTTTGGAGTTTGGGGTTTGCAAAAGAGCACAAGTCCCTCCACAGGAGAAGCCGATTCCCATGATCCTGGTCTTGCACAACGCGGACTACATGGGTGCCATGCAGCAGTTGTCGGGCTCTCTTTACAGTGATGACCGTGATGACGACAATGCTGCTGGTGAGGAGGAGGAAGAGGAGGAGGAGGAAGAGGAGGAGGAAGAGGAGGAGGAAGAGGAGGAGGAAGAGGAGGAGGAAGAGGAGGAGGAGGAGGGGATGATGATAATGATGATCATGCCGAATGTGAATGAAGATAAACGTGAATCTGGATGTGAATGATTGATGTGAATTCAACGATGCTGATGGATTAGAACGTGGCGGGGGAGATGGTGGTGACAACGACGCAGCTCCCGGCAAAAAAAAGAAAGCACCGAATTCAAAAACTTTTACCATAGGAACCCCCCAAAACCCTTTTCTAATTATTCAGGCTCACTACATCACACGCCTCCGCCGTTGGTTCAGGTGTCATCGAAACGGATTTCATCAACGACCGGTTCTGGAAGACCACTGCCGAAATGCGAAGACTGAGTCCGGAGCTGAACTCGTGCTTGTCGCTCTGTGCATCGCGATGGTCGGACACTGTCGGCTCTTAGCAGGATGCCCTTTTGCGCAACAAAACCCTAAACCCCAAACCCTTTGGTCGGCCCCCCCTGATAATTAGGCTTTGTTCCCCTCGCGGGGGTGGGTTCTGCGGTATGTTTCTGCTGACATCCAGAATACACAAGACCTTCATACCTAGTTGCTCCATGATGACGACCCCTGCAGATGTATGCATAGTTTACCTGGGACCCTCTTTACCTACAGTTTTATGGGTTATACCTACTAATTAAGGGTAGTTCCGACTAATCTGTAGGTAAAGAGGGTCTCAGGTAGTTCTATATTCATACACCATACACTTTAAGGTCTTCCTGCTGCGTGAGGAGGCATGTTTAGCTCTTCAACAGACGAGGCCTCGTCTTCAACTTGCGCGTCCGCGCCATTCGCAAGTACATGCTCTTCGAGGGCCGCTTCAACATGCTCAAGGCCCTGGGGCTGTTCAGGGGGTTGGTGGGGGGTTTGGGGGGGTTTGAGGGGTTTGGGGGGTTTGGGGTGGGTGGGGGTTGGGTTTAGGGGGGTTTGGGAGTTAGGCGTCTGGGACTTTAGGGGTTTGGGGGGGTTAAGCAGGTTTTGGGGTTTAGGGTGTGTTTTTGAGTGCCAAGCAAGAGCTCATCTTCAGAGGCACGGAGGGCAGGACGGGCAGCGTCAAACGCGCACGTCAGGCTGGCGTGGCCTACATCAAGGAGATGCAGAGCCTAGGTTGGCTTTTGGGACATCTTGTGTTTTTCCTTATTTGGGTTTACAAGGGACCCTATATCGATATTTTCAGAGGGTTACCTAAACCCTAAACCCTAAACCCTAAACCCTAAACCCTAAACCCTAAACCCTAAACCCTAAACCCTAAACCCTAAACCCTAAACCCTAAACCCAGGAACGGCCATGGGGTTTGCGCAGTCTCTGCCAACTATGCCGCCGAGCTGAAGCGCGCCCTGGCATGCCATGGCACCTGAGGGTTTCGGTGTGGACCCTCTTAGAGCTCAGGGTGGGTTTAGGGTTAGGATTTAGGGTTTAGGGTTTAGGGTTTAGGGTTTAGGGTTGCTACACCTGGCCCAATGTCATTTCATGCTGTGCTTGATGTATGTATGATTCTGGCAAGAGTGATCAGTTTCCATCTTTGAATACCTGCGCAAACTGGTAAAAAGTGCCGAGTTCCTGGGTGCAAAGCAGTCGGAAGAGGAACCTGTCTTCAACATGTTGAATTGGGGATGCTCCCCAGGAAAAGCCCCTAATAGGGATCGTTAAAGGGGTCACTATAATCCCTGTTAAGGACTGTTAGTATAACTGGGCACATCCCAATGTTGAACATTTAAGAGCGGTTTTGTCTGTGGCCTTCTGGCCCGGAATGTCTGAAAACATATTTACACATTGGCTCGAATTCGAAAGGTCTGCAGGGGGGCGGCTTTCCTTCTCATCCTCTACCTTTCTCTTTCGTCGTTGAGGAAAAGAACTGAGAAAGAAAAGGGATGATGAACATAGACAGAGAGATGTGGGCTGCATTTTCAGAAAGGTACGGGAAGGGGAGAGGACGATGAGAGGGAGTTTCTTTTCTATGGGACCAGCGGGATTCTGGCGAAAATGGGCATAAACCTAACTGGGTAGAGGTCGCCACTGCGGCGCTGCAGCTGGGAAGCGCTCAGCCGTAAGCCCCGCTTTCCTGCCGCAAGCGTGGTTTCTTAGTGCACTCGAAGCTCAACACTGTGAGCCCCAGTCACTTTTTTGGGTTTTCGTTCTGGATAGAAGTTGTTCCACTGAGAGAGATCATAAGCATACAAAATGGAAAGGCCTCTTCGGGAAACATATGCCGCCTGCGCGCTTATCCCGAAGGACAAGTCGCAAGTACAGTTTCCCGAAGCAGTTCGAAGCCGATGTCTTCCGACAGCCGCCCTTCTAGCCCTAGGGTTTACGGTCTAAGGTTAGAGAGAAATTCTTATCTTGAAGGTCAGCAACGCCAGCACTGCCTCTTCAACAAGTTGAAATAAGATATATCCCATGTGTAAAGACACGCCTCAAGCACCGTTGCCTGCAAGAGTTGAGAAAAAGAGACTTCCTGCCAAAAGTACTGTCCGTGTCTTGTGGAAGGAGACGGATAGGCGAAAGCCGCACTTTCCTGTCTCTGGCCTTACTTTTTTCTGGCTGCTCCACTTCTTCCGCTTCTTTGCTTCCTCGCTTCATTCGGCGCAAGAACGGAAGGAGAGAAGAAGAGCAAGAAAACCCCTAAACCCTAAACCCTAAACCCTAAACCCTAAACCCTCAACCCTCAATCCTAAACCCTAAACCCTAAACCCTAAGCCCTAAACCCTAAACCCTAAACCCTAAACCCTAAACCCTAAACCCTAAACCCTAAACCCTAAACCCTAAACCCTAAACCCTAAACCCTAAACCCTAAACCCTAAACCCTAAACCTAAGCAGCAGTGGGATGGTAGAAGGACGAGTTCTCCTAGCCCAAACTTCGCAAGACTGTCTATTTTCGCTCTCGTTTCCTTGCCTTTCGTCCAGAGGGAGGGAGAATCACTTTCTGCCCCGCTCTCCTCTTGTTCCAGTTCTTTTTCAGGGCAACCCTAAACCCTAAACCCTAAACCCTAAACCCTAAACCCTAAACCCTAAACCCTAAACCCTAAACCCTAAACCCTAAACCCTAAACCCTAAACCCTAAACCCTAAACCCTAAACCCTAAACCCTAAACCCTAAACCCTAAACCCCAAACCCTAAACCCTAAACCCTAAACCCGGTTGGGAGGAAGGGTGGTGGAGGGACCGGCCGAGGGAGGGAGGGCGGGAGAGTGAGAGAGAGAGAGAGAGAGTGGGTTGGAATGGCACAAGCAGTTTAGGGTTTAGGGGTAGGCTTTAGGTTTTAGGGTTTAGAGTTTAAGTTTAGGGTTTAGGGTTTAGGGTTTAGGGTTTAGGGTTTAGGGTTTAGGGTTTAGGGTTTAGGGCTTAGGGTTTAGGGTTTAGGGTTTAGGGGCACCCAATCCCTTAGCCTTATGAACCACGGCCCCCGCAAGCCTAAAAAACCTGAACCCTTCACCCTTCACCCTTCACCCTTCACCCTAAACCCTAAACCCTAAACCCTAAACCCTAAACCCTAAACCCTAAACCCTAAACCCTAAACCCTAAACCCTAAACCCTAAACCCTAAACCCTAAACCCTAAACCCTGCGATCCCTCAGCGCCCGCCGAGGTGAGCGGATGCTCTTCCGAGGCCTTCCAAATATCTTGCCGCTCGATAACGCCACGGACCCGGCGGATGATCAGGGAGCAGGCCCGCGTGCCGAGTTCTGGTTGTCAGGTTTAGTTTAGGGCTTTAGGCTTTAGGCTTTAGGCTTTAGGCTTTAGGCTTTAGGCTTTAGGCTTTAGGCTTTAGGCTTTAGGCTTTAGGCTTTAGGCTTTAGGCTTTAGGGTTTAGGGTTTAGGGTTTAGGGTTTAGGGTTTAGGGCTTTAGGGCTTTGGGGTGAGGCTTTTCGGGTTTTAGAGTTGTAGGCTTATGGGATTTAGGCGGGCCGCGTTCAGGGAAGGTTTCAAAGGTTTCGAGGGGCCATGCTTTTCTGGCCCTTAGAGTTTGTAAGAGTCCGAGAGATTTGCAAGGGAGGCCCCTCAGCCCGAAACCCTGCACCCTAAACCCTAAACCCTAAACCCTAAACCCTGAACCCTAAACCCTAAACCCTAAACCCTAAACCCTAAACCCTGAACCCTGAACCCTAAACCCTAGACCCTAAACCCTGAACCCTAAACCCGGCTGGCCAGGCACAAAGGAGCTGAAGAAGAGGCGCTACGCAGCCAAGGCTGCCCTCCAAAAGCGGTGCAAGTTGAACGAGGACTGCTTTGTTCTTACATGTATATGGGGGGTTTACGAAATCAGGTTAGGGCTTAATTAGGGTTTAGGATTTAGGGTTTAGGGTTTAGGGATGTTCCCCCTTATACGAACAGTCCTTAATAGGGATTGTGGTACCCCCTATTATAATCCCTACAAAGGACTGTTAGTATAGTGGGGAACATCTGGTCAGTTCTCGACATGATGGTCCTTTTTTTTGGTAACCTGAAACATAGGGGCGCCGCCTGATAATAAGGATCCCCAAGAAGGGATTATACTGCAGAGAAGTGACCATCTGACCTTGATGTACATGCTTGTTTCTGTTGCTTAGATTTCTATTCTATACGTTTAGACATGGCCTTCGGCTGGGCTGTGAAGACCCCAGCTTTTTCTTTTAGAGGGGTTTTGGGTTTGCAGCAGCGAAGTGCATACCTGAAAAGGTTAGCAGTGTTACTCTCTGCTAAACAAACTTGGAATCCAGTAGAGGGTCGTTTCAGGCAAGTGCTATGTTTGTTTTCCGCGTGCAGGCTTCCAGCTTCTCGGCTTGCTGGGGCAAGCCGAAATGGCAAAGGGAACATAGAACCTGACATTCACAGGGAATGGTGCCATGTTAGGGCTTTCCAAAGAGCCCTGGACGTGTCCTGAGTATATCAAGCGCGTTCCATGTTAGTCAGCCTGCCCCTGGGAGGGCCCAACCTTCAAGCGTGTTCCATGTTAGTCAGCCTGCCCCTGGGAGGACCCGAAGCAAGTTCTGTGTACTAACATGGAACCTTCCAAGGCCGTACATATACCGGGGACCACTAATGTGGAACCAACGAATTCAGTTCATATTACATCCTCAGCTTAAAATTGCAGAATATGTGCGACAAGCAAGACTAACAAGGAAGCTGCAAATAGAAATGAAGTTCCACGTTAAGGCTCTAAGACATTCCTGGGTTTGGCTTGTTGACTCTTCGAAGCCCGCCGAAATCAAACTAACATAGAACTTCTGCCAAAATCAACTTGCTCCCAAACCCTCCCCAATTCAATATTAACATGGAACCTGCCTCAAATTCGCAATGCGGTTCGGTCTGGGGTGCAACCTGAGACAGCTTCTGAGGGAGTGGTCTAACATAGAACCCACAATGCATAAACTCTTTCCAGCCGTGCGCGTGCTGGACTTGAGTGAAGGCATCAACTTTCCGGAAGTGCACACGTATGAGTGGGGACTGCTTGCTGCAAAACAGCTGAACTTAAGAAATCAAAATTCTGCGCTACAGCTTCCACGTTCGCAGTGTATTTGATGCATCCGCAGGCCCCTGCACACAGCGCTGTGTGCTGTGACACTCTACAGCAGTGCCAGCTGCACAGCGTTGCGAGCTGCACAGTCCTGAGAAGGCCAGTTCATCCAGCCTATGGCGCAAGTGAGTCACGTGTTCTCTGGCTGTCACAGCTTCAATCTCCATGTCGCAATAGGAATCCCAGGGAGCCTGATTCAGCACTTGTCTGACCAAGATCAAGCAACCACGAGTTTCGGTGCGTTACAAAGCTGCGACTGTGGAGCCAAGCAACTACCAAAACAAGAAGCTATGCTTTCCGCTCAAAGTAATGCCCACGATCTTGATCCACACTGCGCTCGGAGCGGAAGGCATAGCTTCTTGTTTTGGTAGTTGCTTGGCTCCACAGTCGCAATTTTGTAAGAGCTGAGCGCGTTTCGCATCGAATCCCGCAAGCAGTCCCCACTCATACGTGTGCACTTCCGGAAAGTTGAGGCCTTCACTCAAGTCCAGCACGCGCACGGCTGGAAAGAGTTTATGCATTGTGGGTTCTATGTTAGACAGCTCCCTCAGAAGCTGTCTCAGGCTGCACCCCAGACCGAACCGCTTTGCGAATTTGAGACAGGTTCCACGTTAGCATCTAATTGGGGAGGGTTTGGGAACAAGTTGATTTTGGCAGAAGTTCTATGTTAGTCGGTTTTCGGCGGGTTCGAAGAGTCAACAAGTCAAACCCAGGAATTTTTCGGAGCCTTAACGTGGAACTTATTTGCTTGGTTGAGGAGGTCTTTTCTATTGTCAGATTCCATGTTAGACTTGTTTGTCGAATAAATTTTGCAGTTTGGAGTTCAGGATGTAATGTGAACTGAGGTCTCCAGTTCCATGTTAATTGTCAGAAGTGCCCGTTTGGCCTCGGTAGGTTCCATGTTGGTCTTACACATTTTCTATTTCCAGTTCCATGTTTTTTCAGCAGAGTGTACCCCGCAGAACCCCTGCATGAATCTGATATAACTCACCCCATCTTCCCCTTCCAGGCTTTCTCTAGGGTGCCTACCTGGGACCCTCTGCACCTACAGATTAGTAGGAACTACCCTGAATTCGTTGGTAAAGCCCATCAAACTGTAGGTAAAGACGGTCCCAGATAATTCCAGCATAGCTAGCCGGAGCATCTCACGGCTCTGGGAGTCTCTCAGGCACTGGAACCTCTTCTTCGGTTGCGCTAGTGGAACGTTTACTTCAGCTACCCTACGAAGGAAACCATCGTGTTGAAGCTACATGTCCAAATTGTGGTAGCTTAGTTTATGCTCCTTATAACCCAGTCATTGAAGAGCCGCTCTAGAGTGCCGCAGTCGGTAAAGCAGGCCTGGCTAGGTGCGTCTTCGGCGGCGAGCAAGTGTGGAATGTGCAGCTCGTGCCATCCCCCCACCAGGTTCCCCCCATAAGTAAGGCTATTTAGGGATAGTTACGCCTAAACGGGTATTTGAGGGGGGAACCTAGGGGAGAGGGGAGGGGGGTAGTACCCCTAAACCCTAAACCCTAAACCCTAAGCCCTAAACCCTAAACCCTAAACCCCAAACCCCAAACCCTAAACCCTAACCCTAAACCCTAACCCTAAACCCTAAACCCTTCCAGAGAGAGGTGGGGGGGGTAGTAGGGAAAACCCACCCATGACTCAGCCCCAGGATCCTGGAGCCAAGATCTTGATCTTCATCGGCCGCTGGGTGAAGCAGAAGGGGGTGGACCACATCGCAATGCTGACGGAGGAGGGAGACTCTTAAAACCCTAAACCTTAAGAAAACCCTATAAAAACCCTTAAAAGCCCTTAAAGCCCTTAAAACCCTTAAAACCCTTAAAACCCCTTAAAACCCTTAAAAACCTTAAAATCCTTAAAGCCCTTAAAACCCTTAAAACCCTTAAAACCTGTAAAGCCCTTAAAACCCTTAAAACCCTTAAAACCCTTAAAGCCCTTAAACCCCTTAACACCCTTAAAACCCTTAAATCCTTAAAACCCTTAAACCCTTAAACCCTTAACCCTTAACCCTTAAACACCCTAAACCCTAAAACCCTTAAAACCCTTAAAACCCTTAAAACCCTTAAAACCCTTAAAACCCTTAAAACCCTTAAAACCCTTAAAACCCTTAAAACCCTTAAAACCCTTAAGACCCTTAAAACCCTTCAAACCCTTAAAACCCTTACAACCTTCTAACCCTTAAAATCCTTAAAACCCTTAAAACCCTTAAAACCCTTAAAACCCTTAAAACCCTTAAAACCCTTAAAACCCTTAAAACCCTTAAAACCCTTAAAACCTTTAAAACCCTTAAAACCCTTAAAGCCCTTAAAACCCTTAAAACCCTTAAAACTTAAAAGCCTTAAAAACCCTAAACCCTAAACCCGAAACCCTAAGCCCTGAATATTTTTCTCGCTTGAAGGACATCCTGCGCAGTCAGCAGAACGTTCAGATGGTGCTTGCGGGTCCGCCTGACGATCCCTTCGGCCGCTTCTCGGCTTTCTTTCGGCTGGCTCTTAGGACTTTAACTTTCAACCTTGTGGTTTTGTAGAAACTGCAACAAGGAGCCTAAAAGTTAAACTTTTAGTCAGCCAAGGCTATGCGGAGGAGTTGCTGGTTCCTCTGCGGGCACGCTTCGAAGGCATCAGGGTCGGGATCACCCTGGATCAGCCTTTCTGAGCCCTCGAAGCCAAAAAGCGAAGCTTTCAGAGGAAGCAGGACCTGGACCCTTAAGAGTGTAGGGTTTAGGGTTTAGGGTTTAGGGTTTAGGGTTTAGGGTTTAGGGTTTAGGGTTTAGGGTTTAGGGTTTAGTTTCGGCGGTTTAGGGAATTCTTGGTATACATCTCATTGACCAAGAGGCCGGCTCTTCGTCTGCACGGAGTTCTTCTACCTGGATCAGGCCGCTACAGGGTCCACGGGATTAGGGTTCAGGGTTCAGGGTTCAGGGTTTAGGGTTAGGGTTTAGGGTTTAGGGTTTAGTTGCAAGGGGTTCGGGATTTAAGGTTTAAGGGCTTCTCAGGATTTCATGGGTTTCAGGGCGGGAGGGCCCCAGGGAGGATCCAAAAAGTAGATCCCTTTAAGGCTTCCTAAGAATGACCCAATCGTCGTTTAGGGTACTATTTGAGGCCTCTACTTTTTGGATTTTTCCAGGGGTCTGGGTGTGGAAGTTCCACGAAGGAGCTCCGCCGTGGTGCGCATCTCTGCTTCACTCCATCCTGCTCGGAACCGTTCGGCCTCTCGGCGATGGTTGAGCTTCCCAGGTTGTGCGCGCGCTTGGAGGGTGGAGTGTTGCCCTAAACCCTAAACCCTAAACCCTAAACCCTAAACCCTAAACCCTAAACCCTAAACTCTAAACCCTAAACCCTAAACCCTAAACCCTAAACTCTAAACCCTAAACCCTAAACCCTAAACCCTAAACCCTAAATTAGGGTTTAGTTTAGGGGCCCTGAGGCTCCTTTAAACTTAAACACCCGTTTTGGTCTTCCTGGGATACTCTTGGGTCAAGCAGCCGCGTCGTTTGGGACTGGGATGGCGACACGTGCCCGAAGTCTTTCTTGGCCCTGGATGCCTTTCAGACCCTCGAGACCCTAAGACACTAAACCCTAAACCCGAAACCCGAAACCCGAAACCCGAAACCCCAAACCCTAAACCCGAAACCCGAAACCCGAAACCCCAAACCCTAAACCCTAAACCCGAAACCCGAAACCCAAAACCCTAGACCCCTAAACCCCTAAACCCCTAAACCCCTAAACCCCTAAACCCCTAAACCCCTAAACCCCTAAACCCCTAAACCCCTAAACCCCTAAACCCCTAAACCCCTAAACCCCTAAACCCCTAAGCCCCTAAGCCCCTAAGCCCCAGCCCCTAAGCCCCTAAGCCCCTAAGCCCCTAAGCCCCTAAGCCGCTAAACCCCTAAACCCCTAAACCCCTAAACCCCTAAACCCCTAAACCCCTAAACCCCTAAACCCCTAAACCCCTAAACCCCTAAACCCAAAACCCCTAAACCCCTTAACCCTAAACCCTAAACGCAGGTTATGTGGATGTGGAGTTCGGCCTGTTGGGGGTCCCCTCGGTGGGCTGCGCCATCGGCGGCCTGGGCAAAATGCCCGGACTCCGGGCTGCGCTTTGGGATCACTTTTCTACATTTTGAGGACTAGGTGGCTAGGTGTTCAGAGGTTAGGAATCTAGTATGCATCTAAGTGCGCATAAGATCCTCTACTACAGAGCCAGAGAAAAAGAAAGAGAAAGAGACAGAGAGAGCGAGAGAGAGAGAGAGAGAGAGAGAGAGAGAGAGAGAGAGAGAGAGAGAGAGAGAGAGAGAGAGAGAGAGAGAGAGAGAGAGAGAGAGAGAGATAGAGAGGGACAGACGAGCGCGAGAGAGAGAGAGAGAGAGAGAGAGAGATAGAGAGCAGAAAGAGGGGGAGAGAGCGCGAGATCGCCCCAAGCTCCAAGGAACGAAAGAATGAAAGAGAGAGAGAGAGAGGGAGAGCGAGAGAGTGAGCGAGCGAGCGAGCGAGGGAGAAGAGACAGAGAGAGAGAGGGACAGCGAGAGAGAGGGAGAGAGAAAGAGAGACAGAGAGAGAGAGAGAGAGAGAAACAGAAGAGAAAGGGAGAGAGAGAGAGAGAGTGAGAGAGAGAGAGAGAGAAAGATAAACAGACAGGCGGAGAGAGAAACATACAAGAGAGAGAAGGAGAGAGAGGGTTGCAGAAGCGACTTCGCACGGGGGCAACACAGGACAGCTTGCCCATATAGATCATGAACTATAGTTCCACATGGAAGTGCCGATTGGGTGTGGTTTTCGGTGAAAGTGACGAACAGGGTGAGGAAAAATGTTCATGAAGCCAGTAGGGGACAGCAGGCGTGGGATTGGAAGTGGGTTCGAGTGGTAAAGTCGGGTGTGCCCAAAGCATCCCTAAACCCTAAACCCTAAACGGGTATAGAGGGGGGGGGGGGGGGGGTATGGCAACCATCCCACAGAGCTGTATTCCCCAACCCACAGACGCAAACCCGAAAACCGGCGCGGGCGAGGATGGCCGGGGGTTCGCCCTCTTGCCCCACGCAAAAAGAAAAACAGACAGAGGAGAGAGAGAGAGGGAGAAGCGAGAGCGAAAGCGAGAGCGAGGGCGAGAGTGAGAGAGAGGGAGAGGAGGAGGGAGAGGCGAGAGTGAGAGAGAGGGAAGGGAGAGGGAGAGGTAGAGGGAGAGGGAGAGGGAGAGGATGGAGAGGGAGGGAGAGGGAGAGGAGGGAGAGGGAGAGGGAGAAGGGAGAGGGAGAGGGAGAGGGAGAGGGAGATGAGAGAGGGAGAGGGAGAGGGAGAGGAGAGAAGGGAGAGGGAGAGGGAGAGGGAGAGGGAGAGGGAGAGGGAGAGGGAGAGCGAGAGCGTGCGAGCGAGCGAGAGAGAGAGGGAGAGGAAATAAAAGAACAAAGAAGAAAAGACTGAAGGATGGATCCCATGATTTGCTCTTTTTTGGTGCACCATGGTTACCCCGTAACCTTTGCTCCTTGCCGGGCCCTGGAAACTGTAAATATCCACAGAGAGTTTACGGTCAAAGGGCTGAGGGTTATCCTGACATGGTTGCAGGGCTACTTACTTGTTTTCCCAACTAAAGCTCATGGCAATGGCTGTTGCAATGGCACTGCTCTCAGGAGTTTATTTCCGGCAGCAAAACGCCGACTCGCCCCACATGCTCCTGGAAGCATTCCACTGTGCCATCGACTATGCCTTGGACTTGCCCGTGACATGGCAGCAGAAAGCCCTCAAACCTGTAAGAAGTAGATATGGGATATTTAGAGCTCGGTATATACATGCCTGAGCAATGTGGCGTTTTGATGAGGAATCCCATCAACTCGTGAACGGAAAAGTCGGGTAGGGTTCGGTACTCTCGGAATGAAGTATAGGAAAAGTTGCTGGGTCTACCCCCTACCCCTTACCCCAGTACCCTCAGTGTTTTTCGGGGTTCGAAAAGCAACCCCAACCCCACCCCCCCCCCCTTCTACCCCTACCCCCTACCCCACCCCCTACCAGTCCTACCTGACCCCCACCCCTTCCCCCTGCCCCATATCCCTCGGAAGTGAAGTGTTTTCAGGGTTCAATGCAGCCGCTCTCCCGCTTCCCGCTTCCCTACCCCACCCGAATTGGAAGTGAGTTTAACCCCTGTTCTCCCCACTCTCTGCGCCCCTACCCCTACCCCCTTACACCCTACCGCCTACCAGTCCTACCTGACGGCCTTCTGGCCTTTGCTCCGCAAGTAGCGTTTGGGGTTTAGGGTTAAGGTTTGGCGTTTTGGGGGTTGGGGGTGGGGGGGGAGGTTTGTCAAGGTTGTTGGGGGCTGGGCTCTGATAGAACTAATGCAGCCTGCATTCAATCCTCCAGCCCTAATTTGCCCTAGAAGGCTCTCTTCCTCGCTCCTCCTCCCTCTCTCTACTGCACTCTCTTTCTCTCTACTCTCTCCCGCTCTCTACTCTCTTTCTCTCTCTCTCCTCGCTCTCTCTACTCTGTCTTTCTCTCTCGCTCTCTCTCTGTCTCTCTCTCTCTCTCTCTGGCTCTGTCTCTGTCTCTGTCTCCGTCTCCGTCTCCGTCTCCGTCTCCGTCTCTGTCTCTGTCTCTGTCTCTGTCTCTGTCTCTGTCTCTCTCTCTCTCTCTCTCTCGCTCTCTCCTTCCTCTGTTTCTCCTGGTCCTCCTCCAGAGCCGAGTTTTTGTCTTTAGTTTTCGGCTTCCTGAAGCTGAGCGTTTATTCTGGACCTTTGATTTTTTAAGTTTCGGCAACATTTCACACACAATTCTGCTCTTTGCAGTATTGCGATTATTACTGACTTTGGGCAACCTGTCCTGTCGCTGAACATCACAGGCAGGCCCCCTAAACCCGGAACCCTAAACCCTAAACCCTAAACCCTAAACCCTAAACCCCAAACCCTGAGCCCGCGAAAGATGTGTTTGAGTGTGTGGGCACATGCCGAAACCTCTTGCATGAAAGCTGGCTCCAAGCATGCAACCAACTACTAACCAATTGCTTCAAGAACCCTAAGCCCTAAACCCGAAGCCCAAAAATCAAACAAAAGATGCTCTTCCTGATAAGGGCAATGTGCGGATTGTTTTTTTTTTTTTTTTTTTTTTTTTTCTCTCTCTCTGTGCTTGGTTCCTAAGCAAGTAGTAAATAAGGGCAATATGTGGATTGTTGTTTATTTATTTCATTTTTTGTTGTTTCTCTGTGCTTGGTTCTTAAGCAAGTAGTAAGCGATGCAGACAAGGATGAAGAGTATTGGCAGATGGCAAAAGCTGCGACTCGGGCAGAGTTTCCCTTCATCATCTGGAAGGAGAACCTGAAGGAGGCGTGGGCGGGTTTAGGGTGTAGGGTTTAGGGTTTAGGGTTTAGGGTTTAGGCTTACGCGCTGCTGCATAGGCACCGTTCAGGATAGCTTTGGGCAGTTCAAGAGAGTTTGGGGCCCTAAGGCAGTTTACGATACTTCGCCTCAGCCGCAGGCCCTAAAACCCTGTCAACCCTAAACCCTACTAGTACTAAGCCCAAAGCTCAAACCTTAAACCCTAAACCCTAAACCCTACTAGTACTAAGCCCAAAGCTCAAACCTTAAACCCTAAACCCTAAACCCTGAGCCCTCTTCGGAGTGCAGTCACCCGGCCGTCCCAAGAGTCGGAAGTCGAAAGTATGGCCGTTTGGGAGGCCTATCATCTCGCCTTGTCCCACTTCAAGGACAGTTGAGGGGGTTTAGGGTTTGGGGTCTAGGTTTAGGCTAGGGTTTAGGGTTCAGGGTTCAGGGTTCAGGGTTTAGGGTTTAGGGTTTAGGGTTTAGGGTTTAGGGTTTAGGGTTTGGGGTTTAGGGTTTAGGGTTTAGGGTTTAGGGTTTAGGGTTTAGGGTTTAGGGTTTAGGGTTTTAGGGTTTAGGGTTTAGGGTTTAGGGTTTAGGGTTTAGGGTTTAGGGTTTAGGGTTTAGGGTTTAGGGTTTAGGGTTTGGACTTGGCTAGCTGCGCAAGCCTGGTAGGGCCTTTTGGAAGTCGCACTTGACGGTGGTGCTTCAAGGCCGCACGAAACTGGGTGGACCAAGCGTGGCAATGCAGAACTGACCTGACCCTAAACCCTAGACCGTCAACCCTAAAACCTAAACCCTAAACCCTAAGCCCTAAACCCCATAAACCCTCTAAACCCTCTAAACCTTCTAAAACCTCTAAAACCTGTAAACCCTACAAACCCTATAAACCCTATAAACCCTATAAATCCTCTAAACCCTATAAATTATCCTATAAACCCTCCAAACCCTATAAACCCTATGAACCCCATAAAACCTATAAACTATAAACCCACTATAAACCCTAAACCCTATGAACCCCATGAACCCTATAAACCCTATACACTCTACAAACCCCATAAACCCTACAAACCCTAAACCCCAAACCCCAAACCCCAAACCCCAAACCCTAAACCCTAAACCCTAAACCCTAAACCCTAAACCCTGAACCCTGAACCCTGAAACCTAAACCCTAAACCCTAAACCCTAAACCCTTTCTGGGCCCCGCGGGCCCCTCTCTGGCTGCTTCGGGGCAGTCGGTGGCTGTCGGAGCACTCCACACGCCTTTGCTACTGCATGCTGCATAGGAGCTTTGTAGGGTTTAGGGTTTAGGGTTTAGGGCTTAGGGTTTAGGGTTTAGGGTTTGCTCAAGATCTCTCCTGCTATCTGGGATCGCAGCCGGCGCAATGGCTCGCTTTCCGGCGCATGGTAAAGCCGTAGCTCGGCCTGTCGCAAAGCAAATATGGTGAGCTCTGTACATGATGGGCCCTTTTCAGGTCCCTAAACCCTAAACCCTAAACCCTAAACCCTAAACCCTAAACCCTCAACCCTCAACCCTCAACCCTCAACCCTCAACCCTCAACCCTAAACCCTAAACCCTAAACCCTAAAAGGGACCATATGATGCCAACCCTAGGAGGGCTTAAGAGGCATTCAGCCAACGCTTGCCTGAGAGGACAAGGAGACCGGGCTGAATCACCTGGAGCCGGTGGCAGGAGTCCAGAGGGTTTGGGGTTTAGGGTTTAGGGTTTGGGGTTTAGGGTTTAGGGTTTAGGGTTTTAGGGTTTAGGGTTTAGGGTTTTAGGGTTTTAGCGTTCTAGGGTGTTAGGGTTTTAGGGTTTAGGGCTTTAGGGCTTTAGGGCTTTAGGGCTTTAGGGTCTTAGGGCTTTAGGGTTTAGGGTTTTAGGGTTTTAGGGCTTTAGGGTTTTAGGGCTTTAGGGCTTTAGGGCTTTAGGGTTCTAGGGTGTTAGGGCTTTAGGGTTTTAGGGTTTTAGGGTTTTAGGGTCTTAGGGTTTTAGGGGTTTAGGGCTTTAGGGTTTTAGGGTTTTAGGGCTTTAGGGTTTTAGGGTTTTAGGGGTTTAGGGTTTTAGGGTTTTAGGGTTTAGGGTTTAGGGTTTAGGGTAGAGGTTGAAACACGCTTCGGGACAGTTGTGGGGCAATTTCTACAGTCACCTGGCAGCTAGAAGCGTCCGGGGTCGAGCAGCCTTTCCTGTGTGTAGCGAACATTCAGGGCCAGTCTCCACATGAGCCTTTGCCTCGGATTCGCCCGACTGAGGCTGCTTTTTCCAACAACAGCCATATCTGAGAATGCGTGTGCACCACAGAGGCTCAAATACACTAAAAGCCCTGAGCCCTACCAAGCCGTAGGCAGCCACACCTCGGTGCTCCCCCGAGCCAGGTCCGAATCAAGTTCTCCCCTTAAAAAGGCTGACTATGGGTACTATATAGGGCCTAACAGCCCATCCAAACCCTACCCTAGCCCCACTTGGAGGTTCATGGTGTACTTGTAAGCCCCCTAAGTCCCTTCAGTAGGAATATATAAGTAGATTTGGAAAACTGTGGACTGTGGTTATATAAGTACCCATGAACCTCCAAGCAAACCCCCCTCCAACAGCGTCGAGGCCGCGAGGGCATGCGCCGTGTCCTGGCCGCGCGCACGGAGACGACGCTCCGGCGGATGTCCTCAACCGCACTGGTGGCTTGGGCTTTAAGGTTTATAGGGCTCAGGGGGCCTCAAAAAAGAGCCTCCCCCCCCCCCCCCCCCCCCCCCCCCCCTCCCCTACCCAGATTTGAGGGTTTACTTCAGGCAGTTGCTTGTTGGACAGTACCCGTAGAGTTCAGCAGATGAACTGCGCGGCTTCTCTCTAGCTCGGTTCGAGAGACTGTGTGCTGATCTACGGGTCGGAATACTGCTAGTACTCTTCCCTTATGGTCCCTATAAAATTATAGTATAATAACCCCCCAAAACAGTATAATAACCCCCCAAAACCCTGCTCAAATTACTAAAAGGCCCCTACATTGAATTAGATCCCTGTTGCAAAGCTTTCGCAGAATTTGTCCGCCACGGCCGTCGCTGCCGTGGGCACATCGATCCCTTCCCCCCATGCGCTGAACGTACTAACGACGCCGTTGTCTGTTTTCGTGTTGTTGCACTGAACCCAACTCCACTGTTTCGGTGCATTTGGGGATGGGGGGGGGGGGAGGGTGGTGCAGTGTCTCAGTCCTGGTGGCCTCAATGGAGATGCTGGAGATACGTTAGCCCCTTTTGGCCCCCAGGCGGAAGCCCAAAACCCTAATCTTCCTGCCCAACCACGAAGGGGGAGGGGGGCCTTGGGGTGGGATGTTCTTGGGCCGTTGTCACCGGATTCCCTGGAAAGGGCGGTCGTGGACTTTTAGGGTACAGTCAGTTCATGTGGCTTTGCCTTGAAAATCGTCCCCCTTCCACGCTTCTCTGTTGCCCTGCCAAGGTTGCGCAGCACATGCAGGTGCTGGACGTCAAGGATCATGCAGAATTTCTGGAGCAACCGGTCAGCGAGGAGACTGGGCACAGTCTTTTCAATGTGCGGACCCATTTGTCGGCTCCCTGCCCTGGCAGGCAGGTGTCAACCCGAACTCGCTTTATTGTACGGTACTCGCAACTTACCCGAGTCACCCCACAATGAATGCAAAGCTTCCAAGCTATCAAAGATGATAGCCGAGGACCGCATCCACGAAATCATGAAGGCAGTGCGGGATGTGGCGAAGGGTTGGAGTGGAAACAGCCTTGAGCCCGAACCCTACAAACACCCCAGAGACCCCCCCCCCCCCAAAAAAAAAACAAAAGGCACCCTAAAACAAAAACCCTCAACTGCTCCCGTCCCGACAAGAATGCGCCGGCTTCGGGGGATTATCGTACTTGGGGGGGCATATCTCGGCTACACTGAGGGTCGCCAGATTGGGTACCCAACCCTTCTGTGCAACATGCATCTGTTTCTGTCGCACTTCAAGAATGCAGCACAAGTAAGCTCCTGGATTCGGGCCTGTTGCCGCACGGTCCCTTTTTGCCTTATATGTAGGTATTGAGAAGGGGGCTAAAATGGACAGAACCCGAAAAAATGAAACATTGGCTCTCTCCCCCCAAGCCAACAGCCGCAAATCCTACCTGCAAGGCCTCAGTGGAGCGTGCAGGGCGTGCGAAAGCCGTGCCGCGCGATGCGGAGACGCTGCAGAGCGCCTTGCTCGCAGATATCCTACAGGCTTAGGCTTCTGGTTCTCTCGAAGAAGCCAGCTATATAGTAGGTAAGCACTTAAGGTGTTCGGGCTCATGCTGGCGAGAATTCCGACCCAGGTAGGTTTAGAATCTAAAAGGTTTAGGACTCGAGGGCTGCGGATGAGGGTAACTGGCTCATTTCAAGAGCTGCAAGCCTTGATGCTGCTGGCCCCTGTTGCCTTGGATTATCAAGGTTTAGGGTTTCGGGTATTTGGTTTCTACAATGTATGTCCATTCACTTACAGGGTCTTGAAGGGGTTGTGTCGCCAAATCGCCCGAGATTTCTATGCAAAGTAAACCTATTCAAGCCTAGTTTGCACCTCATGATTCCTCATGAAGCCTGACTAAAACTCAGCCAAACTCCTAAACTAAACCTTAATTGAACCATGACCAAACTCCAGTATAACTCAACCCACATCAAATTGAACCAAATTGAACCAAACCAAACCCTAGTTGAACCCTTTAAGCCTAACTAAACCCCTGAGTTAAACCACCTAAACCTAAGCCTTAAATCCTAAATCCTAAACCCTAAACCCTAAACCCTAAACCCTAAACCCTAAACCCTAAACCCTAAACCCTAAACCCTAAACCCTAAACCCTAAACCCCTAAACCCTAAACCCTAAACACTAAACCCTAAACCCTAAACCCTAAACCCTAAACCCTAAACCCTAAACCCTAAACCCTAAACCCTAAACCCTAAACCACAACCCCAAGGCCTCATCTGCCAAGCAGAGCAGCGCCGCACGGAGAAGCACTGCGTGACCCAGTGGCTCATGAAGCCGCGGCCTCAAATCCGATTAGGGGTTTA